CTTTTTAGCGCGGACCCGACGTCCATATAATTGTAAGTCAATGTTCAGGACGCAAAATATAACTTGAAAAAATTAATGTATTTACCACAGAATTCTCGTGCTATACTGAAATAACCTTTATCAAATTGAGTACTTACATATGCATATTTTTATACCAGCATGTCGTATTAGTATCTCGATTCTGAGAGTATAATAATGAAATAGACATTAAATGCTAGTTTCTTGCATGTAGTTGCATTACTTGTCTTATTATGCTATTTTAATATACTCTATTGGTATATGTGCAACAGGAGAAACAAATACATAGTTCCAGTGGTATAAGAACGTCAATCCATGAATGATGTATAATTGTGTGGAAAAAGTTAAGGCCTTTGTTTGTGTAGTCACTTAGGAATTTAGGACAAAACAAAGTGTACAATATTAGTGAGATATATGTATATGTAGGAGCTGGTACGATTATTTCTTGGTAGTAACTGTTAAACCAGAAATAATCAATATGAAAGTAAAAACAGCTATGGTTCCTTTGTTTGCTCTCAAGTGTAGTATTTTTTATTATACTTATAAACAATTGTTACTTATAAACAATTGTTATATACCTGTGTTAATCTTTAACTTATTCATATAATATGATAAGGTATACCAATGGTGTCGAAAACTTTGCAATAACTAACCTTGTAATTGCGAAGATTCTTCGGTTATTTGACCCAATTTGATAGATCTATAAATTATAATAATGTTGTCGTTTTGTCACTCTGCATTAAGCGTAAACGGTAATTCATGTTAAATTACATAGAATCTGCTTAGGCGTGTAAGATACACTCAGCCAAAACCAATCAATACACTTGTGTGTATTACGTGTACAATGTCACTTTATCAAATCGATGTCTTACTTTCTCAAACTCGTATCTTATAAAGAGTGATTATTCAGGAGATCGCAAAACTTTCTATTTATTTTAAATTTCTTATCAAGGGTGTTAATTTAGATGCATCACTTTAAGAATAGGTAAAAGTCAGTGTGTGAATATGAAGGAAATGTGATGAGAAATCAGCCTGCAAAATTTGTATATACAATCCATTAGCATTTCCATTGACTTACAATTATATGGACGTCGGGTCCGCGCTAAAAAGTGTCCGCACTTGTAAGGCGCTAAAATCGTATACAGAGCGCCAAACTCCGCTTTAGTCTTCATTTGTTCGACTGACAGCGCGATACTGCGATGACATTACAATTAAAATTTCGAATAGGTTGACTTGGGACATTTTTTTCGTGGTTTTTGTATTAGACCCGTCGTCCATTTATTTGTAAGTCAATGAGCATTTCAGTAACTTTGTGCTTTAAGATACGAGTTTGAGAAAGTAAGGTGACGAAATGTAAACGCTGTGTAAAATGATTTTAATAAATAATTGTGATAGGTTGTACATGCTATATTGAAGTACGGCTTATCGATATGACCGTCTTTCTTATTTTTGTTACGCATGGTAAGATTTTTTGTGCAGGGCCTGACTGGGTCTACCTACCTTTCTTTACCGCAAATCAACACTGTTGTGTCCCGGTCTTAAGGGTTTTTTTGACAATTTCGACACCATTATGAGATTTACAAAATTTGATTTAATTTTTTATACATTTTATATTTTTAATATTTTATGTATTACTCTAACTGAATATCTTTTTTTTAATAACTGGCGACTACTGCGATCCCTTAAGAATTTTTTAAAGATTTAATTTTATATGGCCACAAATTTAACAGCGAGCACTTTTAGGTTTAAAGTGTTCTATTATGTGCAATATTTTATTCAATGACGACACACTCCTTGAACGGAAAATCATCTTTATATTAACAAGATGGAGTGTATCAAAATTTGAAAATAATACAAAATCAGTTATAATAATTTAGCTTAAGAAACCGATCATTATGACCAAACTAATGAATGACCTTCTTCCTGTAAGAAGCCAGTGTCGCAATCATTGTCGACATTCAAAATTATGGTTATTGACCATGACTATTTGACAAGCAATCTCGTTAATTTTTGGTATGTCCTTAATCATTACGAGCCATGATATACTAATCAGTCAAGATTACATACGCCATAGTCCTCTGTAGTCGACGCTTAGACCCATTTGACTATTGCTGATTTTATTATTTATTTGTATTTTCTATTTCATTGTATTGTATAATAATTTTGATTTCATTGAACTAGCAATAAACTCTTTTTAGGGGACGTAAACAGAAATAAAACAGTACAGGAAATACTGCTCACCCTACTTTGGGACGATAGTGTTATGAGAATATTAAATATATTGTTACCATACTCCTTATCTGTATTTAATTAATACTAAACGGCGGTCTTTCCTGTTCAAACAGGATTTTTGTTGTCATATTTCAATTCATTTGAATCCGTTCCTTTTTTGAAACTGTGTCCATTTGAATCTGTTTCTCTTTTGAAATCGTGTCCACGCTTTACTAGTAAACATTTTCTATGTGTAATTTCACTTTAAGTAGTCTTGTTTTTATTTTAAGTAGAAAAGTATACCAATGTGTGATTTAGATTTTAAATACTGTACAATTGTACATTACAATTACACTAGTGCCTACCGGGTGTAGCATCATTAGACGAATGTGTAATTGACGGTACTTCTATTAGTTAGATAATTGTTTTTGGATTTAATTTTACAATAATAATGTTTAAAATCAGGTATTTTGTTACAAGATGGTTCCTTATTTGAGATAATTATTTTGAAATTTATAATATTTTATATTGTAATAGTTTTAAGTTGTTAAGGGTTAAGTTCATGTTCACGTTCACGTTCATTTCGATGGGATTCCGATTGATTAGAAAATAAAACCTAAATAAAGTAATCTCAACTGATAAATATTGAAATTTAAACATTGTTGATTGGTATTATAAATTTAAGTATTTTTCTAATAAATGACTAGTGCTCTATCACTGTAATGATGATCTGACTTTTCCCCCGAAAGCAGTATCTTGCGGACGTCAAAGGGAGATTTCGAAAATAATTCATTAAGAGTAACTTTATTGATCGAAAAATAATTACAATTTTAAAATCTTATTAAAATCGAATCTCGTATTTTATTGCCTATGCATGTGTTACTAACTTATCTGTGTGTATACACGGTATTGGTGACGAAAATAAAAACAAAAATAAGTTTTTGTATGCGCCATGTTGCTTTTTTTCCGTATTTCCATGAATTTATAGTTGTTCAAACATCTCCAGTGCTGCTTTTTTTTGAAAGTTGGCATAAATGTGAAAGTACCCGGAGCCGATAAATAATAAAACCGGTAATAATAAAAATGTTTATTAAAGTTCAAATTTCGGAGCTAATAGAGTTTTACGGAAATTGACAATTGCATTGTTAACCAATTTCACAATGTATTATTTCATATTACATTTTTTTCGCTTATCTATTCACAACTGCAATTAAATGTTTACCTTAACTTTAGATATACGGTTAATAATCGGGTTAAGGTTACACAGTGACATTATATATTTCAATTCTCGGAAGTTTAAAAAAGTACAACACGTCAGTCTTAACTTTTAATTTCAACTCTACGACAAAGTGTTAAACTTTATATGCTCATTAAATGTTGTCTGTATCAAAATATTGTAAACCTATTCAATTAAAAGTTTATTGAGACAGTTAAGGTGCGAGGTTAATATTTAATATAATCATTTACTGGTTTAAAGATTTTTTTTCAATAATAACCATATACGGCTGTTTCAGTAGAACTGTAATTACTCCGAAACAATCTTGAGAAAGTACACTCCAGGACGCACAATTCGATCAGTTTGATTGATTAAAAATTATTATGTAATTTTAAAACTGGTACTTTCCATAATATGTCCTTGTTGAAAATTTAAGTTTGTCAAAGCCGGGGAAAAATTTTTTGTTGATAACATTGACCTCAATGGATGTTAACAATATTTTTGTATTCTTGTATTTTCATTCTCATAGGGCTACCTTTGAAAATGCGAAGTGGTTCGAATTATGTGTTCGGTATGTAGTAATGTACTTTTGAATAACTCATACAAACGTACCAAAGGGATACAGTGTGTTTTTTAAATGGGACTGCATGAAATGTTTCTAACGACTTTACGCATTAAACGCACGAAGTCGGTTTCGACTTCATGCAGTTAATGCGTGAAGTCGTTATCCGGGACTTCGACTGTACGAAGTTGATAACGACTTCATGTTTTAACTGCATGAAGTCGAAACCGACATCATGACTTACTGCGTGAAGTCGTTATCAAATTCACGTATTAACTACAAACATGCAGTCAATCTGTTAGCGGTCTAATTTGAAGGCGCCCTTAACATTGAAGATACATAATATAGGTATTAGATACTCTCCTACACACATATAAGGTACTCATTGGCGCTAAGAAATATTATTAGTGTTATTAAATTAAAGTTATGAAATAAGTGTAGAATAGTAAACGGGCTGTTTATTTTTTTATCTTTTTAAGCTAAGTGTAATTTTAAGTATTTATTTGGGAAATATATTTTTATACTGCAACATTTGGATATT